CAAGTGTCCTTACATGCTGTCTACTCTATCCACTAGAACCCTTAACATCTTGATCATAATTGTCTTAAACTCTTGGTCTGATAATTTTAACATTCTTGTCATGTAAACTTCTGATACTTGCTCTGTCTCTTCAAACTGTGTGTGTGTGTGTGTGTGTGTGTGTGTGTTTTGCCTTTTAGTATGTGTTTTATTTTTTAATTTTTTGAGAGCCAGACATGATTTATTGAGAAAAAGAAACTATTACCAATAGGCTTTAGTAATGTGGTAGTTAGATGTGGAAGATGAGGAAGCATTATGTAGTCCCATGATTAGGTCTCAGTCTTTTGGTGATCCTGTACCTTTAGACTGTGAACTTCACAAGTACTTATCAATACCATCAATTCCCCACCTGTTAGGTAAGTCAGGATGGGTAGAGTATGTTGGAGTTTGGTATTTCCCTTCCCCTGTCAGAGAAGGGAAAATCCCAACAAGTTAGGCTCTGATTAACTACCTTATCTAAGGGCAGATCATATTAAGAGCAGGATGACTTGTACTCAAAATATTTCCTTTTCCCCTTTTACTTGATGGAAGCCCCAAGGGATTTTTCTCTGATATTCATGGTAAGAACCTAGTAGAGCTCCAAGAGGTGAAAATCAACACAAGTATGGAACCATTCAATGACTAGTCTTCTTGGCATTTTTAATTCTCATTGTTGTCCACATTGAGCCTCCAGTAATTCATCTGGTACAGTTTGGTTTTCCCTATTCTGGCATTAGTTTTCGTGAACATTTCTACTCCTAAAGTTTTGATTCTCCGTACTCACCTGTGGATCTCTCCAATTTTGAGGGCAATGATTTGCCCTATGATTTCATTTTTCTGACAGATTTAAAAAGAGGTGTTAATGTTTCCATTTGTTCAGCATTATACTTGTTGTTAGGACAGAGTGACAACTTCAAAGCTTCTGATGTATTGGACTGAAAATCAACAGTCAATCAATCAGTCGCATGTTAACCTTTTTTAATCTTGCCTATTTATAAAGTATGAGTCTTTTAAGTGTTTTTATTCACAATTAGTAAATGGTCTATTTGTTGTTGTCTGGTCAAGTTTAAGTCCCTCTCCTCTCTTAGGCAGTAAAATATCCATTCTTCTGTATAAAAGGAGGAAGTTAAGTGATTGTAGATATATTTTTGTTACATCTGAATGTACTTTTCTTAATACCTTGATTATTTATAAAATATTTTGCTATGCCTCATAAATATTCCCAGTATAAAAATAAATTGAGAATTTTAGACCAATATCCCTGATGAACATCGATGCAAAAATCCTCAATAAAATACTGGCAAACTGGATCCAGCAGCACATCAAAAAGCTTATCCACCATGATCAAGTGGGCTTCATCCCTGGGATGCAAGGCTGGTTCAACATACGCAAATCAATAAACGTAATCCAGCATATAAACAGAACCAAAGACAAAAACCACATGATTATCTCAATAGATGCAGAAAAGACCTTTGACAAAATTCAACAGCCCTTCATGCTAAAAACTCTCAATAAATTCGGTATTGATGGAACGTATCTCAAAATCATAAGAGCAAACCCACAAATCATATGACAAATCATATGGCAAACCCACAGCCAATATCATACTCAATGGGCAAAAACTGGAAAAATTCCCTTTGAAAACTGGCACAAGGCAGGGATGCCCTCTCTCACCACTCCTATTCAACATAGTGTTGGAAGTTCTGGCTAGGGCAATCAGGCAAGAGAAAGAAATCAAGGGTATTCAGTTAGGAAAAGAAGAAGTCAAATTGTCCCTCTTTGCAGATGACATGTTTGTATATTTAGAAAACCCCATTGTCTCAGCCCCAAATCTCCTTAAGCTGATAAGCAACTTCAGCAAAGTCTCAGGATACAAAATTAATGTGCAAAAATCACAAGCATTCTTATACACCAGTAACAGACAAACAGAGAGCCAAATCAGGAATGAACTTCCATTCACAATTGCTTCAAAGAGAATAAAATACCTAGGAATCCAACTGACAAGGGATGTAAAGGACCTCTTCAAGGAGAACTACAAACCACTGCTCAGTGAAATAAAAGAGGACACAAACTAATGGAAGAACATACCATGCTCATGGATAGGAAGAATCAATATCGTGAAAATGGCCATACTGCCCAAGGTAATTTATAGATTCAATGCCATCCCCATCAAGCTACCAATGAGTTTCTTCACAGAATTGGAAAAAACTGCTTTAAAGTTCATATGGAACCAAAAAAGAGCCCACATCTCCAAGACAATCCTAAATCAAAAGAACAAAGCTGGAGGCATCACGCTACCTGACTTCAAACTATACTACAAGGCTACAGTAACCAAAACAGCATGATACTGGTACCAAAACAGAGATATAGACCAATGGAACAGAACAGAGTCCTCAGAAATAATACCACACATCTACAGCCATCTGATCTTTGACAAACCTGAGAGAAACAAGAAATGGGGAAAAGATTCCCTATTTAATAAATGGTGCTGGGAAAATTGGCTAGCCAAGAGTAGAAAGCTGAAACTGGATCCTTTCCTTACTCCTTATACGAAAATTAATTCAAGATGGATTAGAGACTTAAATTTTAGACCTAATACCATAAAAACCCTAGAAGAAAACCTAGGTCGTACCATTCAGGACATAGGCATGGGCAAGGACTTCGTGTCTAAAACATGAAAAGCAATGGCAACAAAAGTCAAAATTGATAAATGGGATCTCATTAAACTAAAGAGCTTCTGCACAGCAAAAGAAACTACCATCAAAGTGAACAGACAACCTACAGAATGGGAGAAAATTTTTGCAATCTACTCATCTGACAAAGGGCTAATATCCAGAACCTACAAATAACTCAAACAAATTTACAAGAAAAAAACAAACAATCCCATCAAAAAGTGGGCAAAGGATATGAATAGACATTTCTCAAAAGAGGACATTCATACAGCCAACAGACACATGAAAAAATGCTCATCATCACTGGCCATCAGAGAAACGCAAATAAAAACCACAATGAGATACCATCTCACACTAGTTAGAATGACAGTCATTAAAAAGTCAGAAAACAACAGGTGCTGGAGAGGATATGGAGAAACAGAAACACTTTTACACTGTTGGTGGCATTGTAAACTAGTTCAACCATTATGGAAAACAGTATGGCGATTCCTCAAGGATCTAGAACTAGAAGTACCATATGACCCAGCCATCCCATTACTGGGGATATTCCCAAAGGATTATAAATCATGCTGCTCTAAAGACACATGCACACGTATGTTCACTGCGGCACTATTCACAATAGCAAAGACTTGGAATCAACCCAAATGTCCATCAGTGACAGACTGGATTAAGAAAATGTGGTACATATACACCATGGAATACTATGCAGCCATCAAAAAGGATAAGTTTGTGTCCTTTGTAGGGACATGGATGCAGCTGGAAACCATCATTCTCAGCAAACTATCACAAGAACAGAAAACCAAACACCGCATGTTCTCACTCATAGGTGGGAACTGAACAATGAGATCACTTGGACTTGGGAAGGGGAACATCACACACCGGGGCCTATCATGGGGAGGGGGCGGGGGGAGGGATTGCATTGGGAGTTATACCTGATGTAAATGACGAGTTGATGGGTGCTGACGAGTTGATGGGTGCAGCACACCAACATGGCACAAGTATACATATGTAGCAAACCTGCATGTTATGCACATGTACCCTAGAACTTAAAGTATAATTAGAAAAATAAATTAAAAATAAATAAATAAATAAATAAATAAATAAATAAATTGGCTTCTGGAATTTTTTTTTTTTTTTTTATTAAGTCCAAGACAAAGGTAGAGACAGTTCCTGGGTAAGGGCAGTTTTCTTTTATGTAGTACATTTGTTCAGACGTCAGGTACAGAAAACAAATTTAATTGATTGATGTAGTGAGATTCAGGGTAATTGATTTTGAAAGAAAGTCAATATGATAATTTCATAATATTCTGTATAGGTTAATACACAATTATTTTTATATTAAATATCAATATGCCATTTTTCTCTAATTTTCTTGATTTATTTAAAATATTTCTGAATATTAAAGAAAAAAGTACTTCTTTAGATGTTCCCTTTTTTTTATTAATCACATTGTTCAAATAAATTTTTGTAGTTTATTTGAATCCTCACTTGTACGAGATGATACAAGATGATATAACCAGGCTTTGTTGCTATTCGAGTAAATCTGAATTATTATTTATCTTTCTTTTAAAGTCTTCTAACACCTCATATGTTATAGCAATTTTCTTGCTATTTTTGTTTCAATATACATGTCTACAGATTTATTTTGTGTGATATTTGAAGTGAGTAAAATGGGTTTAATTTGCAGCCCTAAAAATATATTTGCTGTTAGTATGTATTATGATTGAAATTCTTTATTTGCAAACAAAGAGCATTTGCTCATGGTATGTTATAAAGTTGAATACGGGGACAGAAGAGATAAAATACATAATCACAATTATATTTAACAAAGTATTATTAAATGGAAATAAGAAGGATATACCCAAGAGTATAGTAATATTTTGGAATTGACTTTTTAAAAATGATTTAAAGAAAGGATGCATTATGTGTAATGCTGTTTACAGTGGAGGGTGTCCAGGTTCTTGGTCTCTTGAACAAAAATTAGACAAAATGCACAAACAAATCAAGAAAGGAATGAAGGGTTTTATTGAAAATGAAAGTACAGGCCGGGTGTGGTGGCTCACGCTTGTAATCTCAACACTTTTGGAGGCCGACACAGGAGGATGACCTGAGGTCACGAGTTCAAGACTAGCCTGGCCAACATGGCAAAACCCCATCTCTACAAAAATACAAAAATTAGCCAGGCATGGTGGTATGTGATTGTAATATCAGCTACTCAGGAGGCTGGGGCGGGATAATCACTTGAACCCTGAAGGCAGATGTTGCAGTGAGCCCAGATCATGCCATTGCACTCCAGCCTGGGTGACAGAGTGAGACTCTGTCTCAAAAAAAAAAAAAAAAAAAATTAAAAGAAAATGAAAGTACACTCCACAGTGTGGGAGCAGGCGTAAGCATAGGGGCTCAAAGGCCCTGTTACAGAGTTTTTGTGAGTCTAAATACCCTCTACTTGGGGTATGCCCTATGTCAATGAAGAGGAAAGTAAAGTTACAAAGGCATTTATGGCGTATGCCTTATAGAGAAGATATTTCCTGTTACAGCTGAAGTGTGAATCGGCCTTATGTTCCCTGCCTCCAGACCCTATTTTCCTACCTTATATCTCCCCAAGGGATGCAATTCCCGTAAATCTTTATGGGAGGCAGACGAACTAATGGTCCTTTTTTCTGTAACTGCTTCATGCTGTTTTGAGGAGTAGTCCCTACCTATCTGGGATTACAGAACTCTCACCCTGTCCTGTCTAGTGGAGGCAGGGTAACTTCTTTATGGCCACGGGCAGTGTCTTCACCTGGAACTGGCTGGAACCTTTGTTGCATGATCTGCTGAAGCTTGATGGTTTCTAGGAGAAAGGAAATGAATTTAGTTAAAATATGTAATGCGTACTTCAGGGGATGGATACCTATGCTGTCAGAAATGTTTGTTTGAGAGATTTGCAGGATTAAAAAAACCTGGTCTATCCTAGAATCTATGTATTTATTTAAAGTCTTAGCATGAGCTATTGCATTTTGGTTTGGTTTGATTTGTTGGGGCCTAGTGCATGAGTCTAGTCCAAAACAATGGCCTTGCAGAAGTTTGTTTAAAAAAGTCCCCCTTTTTGGTCAAGTCCTCACTTAGGTGAGAGCGTGACCAAAACCTAACGCCTTAACGCCACTATCAGTTACCATAATTTTGGATTTCCAGTCTCAGCACCTCACTTACGCTTTATGGTGTCTTTGTGGTTGCACATTTCTTTCAGCTCCTGTTATTCTAGTTGAAGAGAGACCATATGGCATTCTAGAGAGAGCTGCATGCAAACATTTAAAACCTTTGAGAGAATACAGAACACCAGGGAGACTATTATCATAACTATTGGGAGGATAATACCAAGAGTTCAGAGTATGCTCCTTACCCGAGGTCTCCATTAACCAGACTTCATAAAATCAAATAGATTAAATAATGAGCTAGATAAAGAGTTTACTCACTTGACTAAGCAGTTTCTTCATCAATCCCCTACCACGGAATCTCTATAGTCTTTATTTGATGTGTCTCCCCATAGGCCACAAGTGCCAGAAGCTGGACAGATACTTCTCTGTTCAGCCAGTTCTCTCATTTAGCATAACTTTCATAAGAGAATTTAAAGTTTGTTGTTAACTGTAGCCTTTACAGTAGAATTTGCTATAGAACCTATCATGAGGGATACATTTCTAATGATTGCTTCTTTTACTTTAAACCATGGAAAAAAGACCTAACCAATGATGCCCTTTTAGAAGAGTGAAGGCCTTTTGACAATGTTCTCTTTAACCCACGATATGCGTTAAGAGGAATGAACCAGTGTTTTTGACGGATTATGAGGCCACATATTAAGGTTTCTTACCTACATTGGGCCTTCATCTTTTATCTATCAAGTATAAGATTATCCATGTATAAGGCTGGCTGCAAACTCCTTCACAAATAAAAGTGCACCCCATTAGTGCACATAACAGACCCCCTTTCCACTTCCATTGTTCATAGAGGCATAGGCATAAAAAAATTTCAAAGATAAGAGTTTTATGACAGTAGAAGTTTTAATCTGTGAACTTGGGAAACACTCTTTACATCAAGGATGCCATTGTCTTCTTGGGAGAAATTTTCCTGCTTAGCTTTACCTCAAGGGTTCCAATGGGTGCACAGCTCCAAGAGCATGGAGGAACCCTTCTCAGTTGTGAGATTATGAAACCAAAATTAAAGGTCTTGAAGTTTTATTGTACTGTTAATGGCAGGGACAATCTTTCTCTGATGTTTCCGGAAGATTCAAACCATAAAAGGCTTTCTTCATTTTGTGAAAATACATTGTAGCATAATAATTTACTCTTATAACATCAGTCCTCTTGCAGGGGAAAGCTTTAATACAACCAGAAAACATTCACTGAAAATAACAAGCGAATGAAATCCCTTTATAAAATGTTTAAGTGGCCGACCAGGTGACCAAAGGTACCTGAAGCTTTAAGTGTTTTCCCAGGAGTATGGAATCAAGCATTGGTTATAAACTGCTTTAAACAATTTAATAGTGAGTTTAATGTGAAAGTATTGATATTTCATTAATTTTTTGTTTTACTTGTGTTAGTAACTTTACACAAGGAAATTTTGTTATTTCTGTGGTTTACAATAACTTGACATAATAATTATAATTATGATTTATAGCATATATTTAGACATTAGAATTTTAGAAATCCCATACAATTTTGAAATATATGTAGTATTATTCACAAAAATATAACCTAAAGAAGATAGAGCATCATTTTGGCAATCCCAAGTACCTAAACATGTCAAATAATCCTATTTACCTCTCTTTTCTGGACACTTCAGGGGCCCTCTGAGGTACTGGAAAAGCCAGGTGCCAGAGAAGTCAATTTTGAAACTGAAGTTTGATTTTGGGAATGCCAGATTTCTGTAAGTTATTTATTTTGCCAAAATGATGACTCGGAAACTTTAAAGAACAAACACCTTTTATAACCCTTTGAATTTAGTCAACATGTTCACACAGAGAACCTCTTCTGCAAGATTAATTTCCACAATTTTCCACCACTTCTTTGAACCTTCATCTTTCCCTGTCTAACTTAAAACAACCCTTTATTGCTAGGGAAATTTTACATTTCTATGCCTTCTTATAATCCTTTAATAAAAAAGAACATTTTACTGTTTTTACACACCTTGCATGTAAATCTAATTCTAGTAGTCTTAATTGCATGTTACATTGGTGAGTCTCAGCAATTTTAACTTTAGTGTAAAATTTAGTAAGTTACATTCTGATAAGGTCTATGTCCAGCATAGCTAGGGTGTGGCCAACTCCAAAGGCCCCCAGGCCTTATCTAGATGGAAAACTGGCAAGTTAAACAATTTTCAAAAGCCAAAGAAGCAGCTTATGACCTTAAAGTATTTAGCAAACCTAACACTTGAACATAATTTAGACTACATGTTTACATTTTGAAGACAATTTTATTTTACCAATAATTTTGAAAACTGTATTTCCCAAAGATTACTAAAGTTGTGTGAATTAAAGGCATTGCATTTCCTATTTTTCTGACAAAATATTTTATTTAGGCTGTTATTATTATTAAACCAATTAATTAAAACTTTGCAGAAGAGATAAACAGTGGTTTTTACTTTATATTTAACCAGTTTGAACAGAGAGAAAGAGGCCAGAGACAGACTGGTAAGAAATTCTTACCCTTTTGCAGTCATTCTAGGTTCCTGGGTTCGCTCTCCCTAAGCAGCCCTGGCAACCCTGCTGACCCTGCTTTACTGTATGCAAACAAACACACTGCCTTGAATTAAGAATATTCATAGATAGTTATGAATTCTGGAGAAACTAAACAGAGAGAGAAAAATGACTCAAATTTTATTTGTGAGAGTACACTCAACACACTTAAAGTATCAGGAAGCCTAAAATCCAAAAAGTTAGTGTAAGAATAAAAAGCTGGTGTGCTCCATTCATTCCTGCAGGCCTGACAAAAGTAGCTTAGGAATTCCAGATAAATTGAATGCATGATGACTTGCGGGAAATGCATAGGAACACAGAACTGAATAACAGCCTTCCATTAGGAACTAAAAAAAAAAAAAAAAAAAAAAAATCATGATTTTATATATAGAGATACACAAGCAAAGCCAGAGGAGAATAAACAGCAAATAAATGAAAACTAGAAGCAAAAACAAATAAACAAAAACCAATCCTAAATTTTACACAATTCAACACCCTTAAGTTCACTAATACCATTATACACTCTGTGCAATAAAAAAATCCATGTTAGGCACATGACCAATAAGCAATTTAGCACTATCCACACAAAACAGTAAACATAGTGTGAAGCAATGCAAGCATGTATGTGAAATTTAGCTTTACGCTAAATTTAGCTTCATGCTTAACTATATTAAAATACAACTGCCAAACTGACAATACAATTTTTATAATACTTCTTGCTTTACTTTAATCAAGACTAAGAGCTTTAACTAGGAAAATGTTAATTAGCCAAATGTCTGCAATTCTCTATCAGGTTTTACAGAATATTTTATTATTTAAGATTTCCCCACATTTTGCTCCCCTACTTAATCATTCCTTACTACATTGTTTTATAAACAACCTTTTCAAATCTGTAATTTGAACTAACTCTTGGATAACTTTTGAATTGGACAAAATTATTCTTTTTTTTTTCACTAATAACATAACCCTTTCTGGCACATTTTTTATACAGAATTACATGTTAGCTAAAATTTTTATCCTTAGTAACTTAAAACTTTAGTAAGGACCTAAAAAGCAAAAAATACTGAACTATTAGATACGAGCATTTGTAAATAAGAATAATTCAAAAATTTTAGAAACATATTTCCCCATATTGTTACCGGGGGGTCCTTGTTCCCAGAGCTCCCAAGATGGTGCAGGGTGCTTCCAAAATGGCGGCAGACCACTTCCAAGAGGGTGGCAAGCCTCGTGTTCTCTGACGTGGGGTTCTTGACCTCACGGATTCCAAGGAATGGAATCTTGGGCCACGCAGTGAGTGTCATAGCTCTATTAGAAGCCGTGGGTCACGGAAGAGAACCGTGGAATCCAGTGACTAGTGCTCAGCTCGATTAGGATGAACTCAGGCACTTAGCCATGCAGGAACAATGGCAAGCCTTTAGCCCAATCGGGAGTGGCAATGGGCGCCTCGCTGGATCAGGAGTACAGTGGACACTCTGCCAGATCCAGAGGGATAGAAGTCTGCAGCGGGTCTGCGACAGGGGCAAACAGCAACGGTGGACAGACAGCAAAAGCTCAGATCGAGCCATAACAAAACATGGACAAGAAGAGTGCAGTTGCAAGATTTAATAGAGTGAAATAGAGTGAAAACAGAGCTCCCATACAAAGGGAGGGGACCCAAAGAAAGTAGCCCTTGCCAGCTCAAATACCTGGGGTTTATATCCCCATCATTGTCCCTCCTGCTGTGCTCTCAGGCAACAGATGATTGGCTATTTCTTTACCTCCTATTGTTGCCTAATTAGCATTTTAGTGAGCTCTCCTTACTATCTGATTGGTCGTGTGTGAGCTAAGTTGCAAGCCCCGTGTTTAAAGGTAGAAGCAGTCACCTTTCCAGCTAGGTTTAAGGATTCTTAGTTGGCCTAGGAAATCCAGCTAGACCTGCCTCTCAATATTACAACCCTTCTTATTTGGAAATGACCCATATATTAAATGAGCATTAAAAATAGCCTTAAGATTTTAATTTACACATAAATTTACCTAAAGCGTTTATCTCATTCACTGTACATAAATTTACTTTTAACAAGGGAGACATGAGACATCAATCAACATATATAAAACAAACATGGGTTTGGTCCAGAAAGGGAGGACAACTCCAGGCGAGTGGGAGGATGGAGGTCTTTCCAATCACAGGTGGGAGACAAACAGTTGCATTCTTTTGAGTTTCTGATTAGCCTGTCCAAAGGAAGCAATCAGATATGCATTTATCTCAGTGAGACTTTGAATAGAATGGGAGGCAGGCTCACCCAGGACAGCTCCCATCTTGAATTAACACTGACATTTAAAAATACCTAGCAAAGACAAACATAAAATTTAGATAAAACGTATGCTAACTATTCTGAAGGCATTTCTGTTTTCATTTCACCAATAATTTTAAAACTAGCTTGTTTAGTAAAGTTATATTTTCAGTCATGTGAAATTGAAAATTGCTTAGACTTATTTACTTAATCTATGAGTACTCTTTTACTTACAAGCCAATTTGGTAGACACGGCATAAAACAATTAAGTGTACATACACATAAACACATCTAGACCCATACACACACACACACATAAATGAAGATCCAATAGCTTGGAACCTTAGCCTGAGATAGTAATACAAGCTTGCCGGTTTTACTTTGCCCCAGTAGACAATCCAAGGAAGGCTGTGAAACAAAATTCCAGGTTAAGCAGTCTCCACTGCAGTTGTAAATCAGTCCTCAGACTCTAAGGAGCACTAGGGCCAAACAGTAACAAAGGAGGGTGTCAAACGCTAATGAGGGCCACTGCTTGGAAGAACAGCATAAAAGCCTATATACATGCAACGTCATCAAACTTTCCAATTAGACAGTCAACTTCAGATTCCAAACACTTTTGGGGCCAAGCAGCATTGCAACTGCGAGAGAAAATTCTAAGGAGGTTTTGATACTAGACCTCAGAACCTCTGCCAAGAGCATACTGTTGCTTTGCAGAACCCACAGAGTGTCCTTTGGGGTCCAATCTTAGAACTCCAGATGTCTCTGGCCTTAGGAGTGCCCGCCACATGCAGGTTTCCCCTCCAAAGCATACTATGCGATTTTTAAGAACAGTCATGAACTGTAATGTGAACTGGATGCCCTGTGAGCCTTTTGTTCCTTAGCCAGTTGAGTACAGCAAGGGAAGGATTTAGCATATGAAAAGAAGGTTTAAGTTGCCTGAAACACGTGTGAGTTTGCTCAGAGCTGCATCCCACGTAGGGATTAGGGACCACGCTCAGAAAAGAATTTTTTAAACTTCCTTACCCTTTCAGGGCAGGGCAATTATTCCCATTTGTTCCCAGGCCTTCAGGCAATACTGGGGAGTGACCCAGCCAATTGCCCTCAATTCCAAGGAGCTACTAGGAAAAAGCTACTGTAAGACTGAAAAAGGAAGAGAGGAAAAAAATAAAAATAAAAGACCCAGATTCCTTAAGCCAACCGCGCGGTGCCGGTTAGGCTTCCCCACGTGAAAACCCCTTGGTTTCACTGGCCACAGCTAGAACCTGCAATTGCTTCAGTGTTTAGGTGCTGCCCTCCAAGGGTGCCAAGTTGGAAAGGAAAGGAGAGAGAGAGAGAGACAGAGAGAAAGAGAGAAAGAGAGAGAAAGACCCTGAATGGAGCAGAAAGGAAAGGGAGAAAAATGAATCCCAAACTTAGGGCTTACCTCTTCCTCTGGGATGGCTGGCCAAAACATGTTAATGGTGGAGGGTGTCCAGGTTCTTGGCATCTTGAACAAAGAATGGGACAAAACACACAAACAAAACAACGAATGAAGGGTTTTATTGAAAAAGAAAGTACACTCCACAGTGTGGGAGCGGGCCTGAGCATAGGGGCTCAAGAGCCCTGTTACAGAGCTTTTGTGAGTTTAAATACTCTCTACTTGAGGTACGCCTTATCTAAATGAAGGGGATGGAGTAAAGTTACAAAGTCATTTACAGTGTATGCCCTAGGGAGAGGATATAGGTGTTATAGGTGAAGTGTGAATGGGCCTTATGTTTCCTGCCTCCAGATTCTATTTTCCATCCTCAGTGCCATAATTTCACATTTATAATGCCAGGTATTCTTTTAATTTGTCTGCTGGTATATCGGTTACCTTTTATAATTTCATGTGTTCATTTACTTATTTAAGAGACAGAATCTCTTGAGGTTTGCAGAACCCACGGAGTGTCCTCCTTTGGGGTCCAATCTTAGAGCTCCAGATGTGTCTGTCACCCAGGCTGAAGTACAGTGGCGATGGTACCGGTGGGTCTTTGTTCTTAGAGCTCCCAAGATGGCAGCAAGTGTTTTGTTCTCTGAGCTGAGGTTCTTAGCCTCACGGATTCCAAGGAATGGAACTTTGGGCCATGTGGTGAGTGTTACAGCTCTGTTAGAAGCTGTGGGTCATGGAAGAGAACCACAAAACCCAGCGATTAGTGTTCAGCTCAATTAGGACGAACCCTGGCCCTTAGCTGCGCAGGAACAATGGCCAGCCTCTAGCCCAAACAGGAGCGGAAATGGAAGCCTCTCTGGATCAGAAACGCAGTGGACACCCTGCTAGATCCAGAAGGGTGGAAGTCAACAGTGGGTCTGCCATGACGGCGATCAGCAGTGGTGGATGGCCAGTGATAGCTCAGCTCAGGCTGGAACAAACACGGACCAGAAGAGTGTGAAGTCGCAAGATGTAATAGAGTGAAAACAGAGCTTCCATACAATGGGAGGGGACTTAAGGGGGGTTGCCCATCCAGCTCTAAGGCCTGGGTTTATATCCCGATCATTGTCCCTCCCCCTGTGCTCTCAGGCGATAAATGATTTCACTATTTCTTTACCTCCTGCTTTTAACCTAATTGGTATTTTAGTGAGTCCTCTTTAGTACCTCATGGATCGGTTTTGAGCTGAGTTACAAGCCCTGTGTTTAAAGGTGGGTGTGGCCTCCTTCCCCAGCTAGGCTTGGGAATTCTTAGTTGGCCTAGGAAATCCAGCTAGTCCTGTCTCTCAGCACCGTAGTGGCTCAATGAAGCCTCAACCTCCCAAGCTCAAGTGAGCTTCAGCTCCCAAGCTTCAGCTTCCCGAATAGCTATGAGTGCAGGTGTATGCCACCATACTGGCTAATTTTTTATTTTTTTAGAGACAGGGTCTCTCTGTGTTACCAGGGTGGTCTCAAACTCCTGGGTTTAAGAGATCCTCCCACCTCAGCCTCCTAAAGTGTTGGGATTACAAGTGTGAGACACTGCATCCAGTCCTTTTACATTAATACTGAGTTTGTTGTGCTCTCATGTGTAATATTGTACCTCAAAGTTGTAACTTTGAAAGAATTGTGTCATTTCTCCCACTGGATTCTCAAGAGTCTCCTTCCCCTTTCTGCCATGGTGATTTAACTCTGGCAGAAAAAGATATTTATATAAACTACTTAATTTATTTAAATAATCTAACCACTTTTTACTAGGTTTTAAAATATTCAGTAGCAAAAAGGAAGCCTCTAAAGCATTGTACACTTCAAAAACAAATAAAATTCTACCTGTTCACCACTTTAGAATCCACTGCTCTTGGTTTTAATACTCCAATGGGTGTCTAATTCATTCCTCTTTTTTTATGGCAAATATGTCACCTTTATTTTTTGTCTCTCTTTAAACTTACCCGTCTCATTTGAGGGCTTTCCTTTTTTAACCTATGATTTTATTAGCAACATATGATTAGAAAAATGGAGCACTCTCTTGATTCGTTTTTATTTTGTACAATCAGATTTTGCACAGATTTTTAAAATAAAAGATAAAATTCAAAACAACAAAAAATAGGCATTTCTTTATGGTAACATTGTTTTTTTTTTTTGTTTGTTTGTTTTTTGGGTTTTTTTAATTTGTTTGTTTGTTTTTTAAGGTGTCTCTCCTAAAATAATATGGCATCCTTTTCCAAAATACTAAGCATAGTCAGAGGAATAACCCAGGGACTTACAGGATGGGAGGTATTTTCATTGGAATCTGCAAAGATAGGGTATCTCAGCCTATTTTTGCTTTGTATTTATTTTTGCTATAATTTGTTAAAGTAGCACATTCTAAGAGTCTAATATTAATAAATTAAAAAAAACCAACAAAGAGTCTTGCCAGATGCTTAACTCTTGAGATCAAGGGTCAGGGAAGTCTTATATTCTTAGGTTAGCTCCTTTGTTTAAAGTAACATAGAGAAAATAGGCACAAAGCAGGGTCAATTCCACTCTAGGTAAATCATGATGAAGTAGATTATACAAGTTCTGAGGATAGCTGTAGACAAAATATACTCTCTTGTATATTCATTTTAGAAGTAGCACATGCAATTAGACAAATTTCATAAAATCTTCTATGTGAGTTTAATATGCTCACATAAATGGTTGTCCTTCCCATAAAAGGCTGATGGAGTTAACAGGTTGTGACCTCAAGTCAAATAACTATATTAGTCTGAAAAGGCCAAGTTATTCTGTCATGATAAACAAAATCCCAAACCTTAGCTGCCTAAACCAACAAAGCTTTGTTTTTTACTCATTCTATGTGTTATTCACCGTAAATTTTGATTGCAAGTTGACGGTGGCATTTTTCAGTGTTGCCATTATTCTTACCATGGGACCCAGGCTGTTGGAGGAACTGTAATCTGAAACATTTTCACTTAGTCTGATAAATAGTAAATAGCACCCCAGAGTATGTTACAGAACCAATTAAATTCTCAACTCAGAAGTGATACAGTTCAATTTCTCCTAGTAATTCATTGACTGGAGTGGTCACATGGTTTCCCCCGAAGTACAGAGGCAGAGAGAGTGAAATGCTACCAGGTGATAGGAAAATGTAAATATCTAGTAAACAATAGTATTCATTCCACAATAGGCCAAGGTCTTTGTGTCCCTTATGGCCATTTATGTTGTACAATATGTACAAATCCTTGGTTAATAGCACTTTTGGTGAGAAATTAAGTTCATCCTTTTTTTTTTTTTTTTTTTGAGATGGAGTCTCGCTCTTGTCAGCAGGCTAGAGTGCAATGGCGCCATCTCAGCTCATCTCTGCCTCCTGGGTTCAAGCAATTCTCCTGCTTTAGCCTCCCAAGTAGCTGTTATTATAGGCGCCCACCACCATGCCTGACTAATTTGGTATTTTCAGTAGAGATGAGGTTTCACCATGTTGGCCAGGCTGGTCTCAAATGCCTGAATTTAGGTGACCCACGCGCCTCAGCCTCCCAAAGTGCTGGGATCAGAGGCGTGAGCCACCATGCCTGGCCTAGTTCATCTTTGTGTTTCTATAAAATAATTCTTAACAACAGTATCTCAAATATTGAAAAAAATACATTTGAGTCTTTTCAAAGACTCAAATTTTTCTGGCTTGGATAAAGTAATAAAAGTTGTAAGTTCACTTTTTTTCTTAGAAAGTCATTCTGTTCCCCCACAAAAATAAACTATGTCAATTGTTGACTTTAGACAGTGAGGTATTTGAAGAATTTCACCTTCAGACAGAGAGCAGGAACAATGTGAGCAATATCTGGATACAAGTTGACACTGCATTTGAAAAGGAATAAAAGAAGAAGAAAAAACATTTTAGATATTTCCTGTCTCCTTCTCTATTGGCATTTCTCGCTCCTTGAAAAAGAAAAGACTGAGCTTTGCAAAGAGGTGAGAAATGCTTGATTTTAATTTTGATGGGATCACATAGAAATTAAATGAAAAGAGAATTACTTTTGTAATGTAAAGTGATTATGTTCTGGCAGGATCCAACCAATTGCATGTCCTTAGGTAATTATTTATCCTTCCAGAGCAGAGGTTGGCAAATTATGTCCTGTGAGTCAAATTCTGCTTGTTTTTGAATGGTTCGCAAACTAAGATGGATTTTACATTTAATAATAATAATTTTAAAACTCAAAGGAGTAATAATATTTCATGATCCATTCAAAACATATGAAATTTAAACCTCAGTGAAACACAGTCATTCACATTCATTTACATATTGTCTATGGCTGTTTTCATGCTGCAGTGACAGAGCTGAATAGTTGCCACAGAGGCTATGTCATTGTAAACTCTAAAATATTTACTATCTGGCCCATAACAGAGTTTTCCATATCCTGTTTTAGAGTTTTACTTTACTTATCTGTGCAATAAGAATGACTCTTATTTCATAATGTTGCAATACTTTGGAAAATTGATTTTTTTTCTTATTTCATTTTATGATTTATTCTGGCTCTAAACAAAATTATGATTCAGTCACAAATCATGGATGATTTTTCCTCTGTTTATAAGAATTGAATATCCATTGTACTTTTTAAGTTTATGATTTAGATATTTAGGCCAAAAAGAGCACCCTATTCCACACATACTTTTATGTAACTTTGCTCTGTTTCCCACTTGGGAGACACTACTGCTCCTCTTGCTATAACTAAAGTGCATGGGGGAAAAAAAAGAATGAAGATATCCAAGTCTTGTGATTCAAGATGATAGTTGTCTTGCCTGTTTTAATTAAAATTCCTTATTCCTTCCATATGAAGTACCACACCTCATATGGTACATACAGCTGTATCGTAGTTTCCATTTCTTGGAGGTAAAGAGAGAGGGAAGAACACAAAATCTTACACCTTCTTAGAGTAAAATAATGTAAAAGAATAGGTGTAACAAATCCATAAGTGGGTCATTGTTTGGATTAAGTGTGGTAATACAGAGGCCCCCATACTCAGGGTCGTACTTGAGCCACAGGTAGTGTGTAATACTAAAGGGTCTTACTGCTAGGTGAAGTGATTAAATCTAAT